TCTTTTGTCGGAGGTTTTTATTTACATAATCCTCGAATATCGACAAATTCTTGTTTTATCCTTTACTTAATAACAATATTCTGATTGTAAACATTACACCCTTTTCCAATGCAAGATACATACGTCATACGTACACTTCCCCAACACGCGATAAGAGATAGACAATAACACATATATATATATTATATAATATATAAAAAATAAAAAACGATTTGATTTGGCAAAAATCGAAACGGGTAGAGTAGGATAACGTTTATTACTATTAAAGCCGGACGGTTTCACCCTATAAATTAGGATTTACAAGTGAACTCCGTTTATTGTCGTGGCGTGAAAAAAACAACATCTGGTCGATGGCCGAATGATTTATATCGGATGAAACTTGATTTTTTTTTTTAAATTTGAAAATGTGGTTAAAAAACATTTTGGTATATAGGGTCCGAAACAAGTGTTTGTCGTATCAGACCACGTGCACCAGATTACTATACATTATTACATTAAAACACGTTGAGTGCCACGGTATTTATGATGGGTGTATAGTGAGTTTCCGCGCCAAAACTGAGTCTCGCCGCCGACGGTCGAACGTACGTTTCTCCAGCCCCCCCCATATCGAATTTCAAAATTTTTTTTGGTTAAATATTTAGCGTGCAATTAGCGTGAATTGGCGTGACTGGTTTTGGAATTTGCTTGGCACTAGGTCAAGTTTAAAAATGTAAACAAAGTGGGGGGGGCTGTAGAAACGTTTCTACAGCCCCTCCTCATCCGAATTTTGAATTTTAAGGACTTTTTTATGTCTCAATATTTAGCGTGCAATTGGCGTGAATTTGCGTGACCTATTTCGAAACCCTGCATTCAAAACACCAAGTACCACGGGCGTTACCATTTTTTAGACGTTTCTCCAGCCCCCCCCAAAAGACAAATAAATTTTTTTTCGTATTTTTTTCAACGCCCACATTTAGCGTGCAATTGGCGTGAATTTGCGTGACCTATTTCGAAACCGTAAACCCAAAGGCCCGAGTACTGTGGGCTTTACCCCTTTATTGCCATTTCCCCAGCCCCCCTCAAACAGCGAATACATTTTTTTTCGAATTTTTTTCAACGCCAACATTTAGCGTGCAATTGGCGTGAATTTGCGTGACCTATTTCGAAACCCTGCATTCAAAACACCAAGTACCACGGGCGTTACCATTTTTTAGACGTTTCTCCAGCCCCCCCCAAAAGACAATAATTTTTTTTCGTATTTTTTTCAACGCCCACATTTAGCGTGCAATTGGCGTGAATTTGCGTGACCTATTTCGAAACCGTAAACCCAAAGGCCCGAGTACTGTGGGCTTTACCCCTTTATTGCCATTTCCCCAGCCCCCCTCAAACAGCGAATACATTTTTTTCGAATTTTTTCAACGCCAACATTTAGCGTGCAATTGGCGTGAATTTGCGTGACCTATTTCGAAACCCTGCATTCAAAACACCAAGTACCACGGGCGTTACCATTTTTTAGACGTTTCTCCAGCCCCCCCCAAAAGACAAATAGATTTTTTTTCGTATTTTTTTTCAACGCCAACATTTAGCGTGCAATTGGCGTGAATTTGCGTGACCTATTTCGAAACCGTAAACCCAAAGGCCCGAGTACTGCGGGCTTTACCCCTTTATTGCCATTTCCCCAGCCCCCTCAAACAGCAAATAAATTTTTTTTCGAATTTTTTCAACGCCAATATTTAGCGTGCAATTGGCGTGAATTTGCGTGACCTATTTCGAAACCGTAAACCCAAAGGCCCAAGTACTGCGGGCTGTACCCCTTTATTGCCATTTCCCCAGCCCCCCTCAAACAGCAAATAAATTTTTTTTCGAATTTTTTTCAACGCCAACATTTAGCGTGCAATTGGCGTGAATTTGCGTGACCTATTTCGAAACCGTAAACCCAAAGGCCCGAGTACTGCGGGCTTTACCCCTTTATTGCCATTTCCCCAGCCCCCCTCAAACAGCAAATAAATTTTTTTTCGAATTTTTTTCAACGCCAACATTTAGCGTGCAATTGGCGTGAATTTGCGTGACCTAATTCGAAACCGTAAACCCAAAGGCCCAAGTACTGTGGGCTTTACCCCTTTATTGCCATTTCCCCAGCCCCCCTCAAACAGCAAATACATTTTTTTTTCGAATTTTTTTCAACGCCAACATTTAGCGTGCAATTGGCGTGAATTTGCGTGACCTATTTCGAAACCGTAAACCCAAAGGCCCAAGTACTGTGGGCTTTACCCCTTTATTGCCATTTCCCCAGCTCCCCTCAAACAGCAAATACATTTATTTTCGAATTTTTTTCAACGCCAACATTTAGCGTGCAATTGGCGTGAATTTGCGTGACCTATTTCGAAACCCTGCATTCAAAACACCAAGTACCACGGGCGTTACCATTTTTTAGACGTTTCCCCAGCCCTCCCTCAAAAGACAAATAAATTTTTTTTCGAATTTTTTTCAACGTCAATATTTATCGTGCGATTGGCGTGAATTTGCATGACCTATTCGGAAATCGTAAACCCAAAGCCGTGGGCTTTGCAAATACAAAATACGAAGAACATACAAAATAATTTACGAAAGTTATTAAGTACCTATATAGTATATACTAGAGGTGGGTCGAACTGTTCGAAGTTCGAAAAATCGAACCCAGTTTTAAAAAAAACTGAACCGAACCGAACACGAACAAAAAAGTTTGAAAATCAAAATAGTTCGAACTTAAAAAATTTACGAAAAGCAAAAATTCTAACATGTCAAACGTTTCGAACTAAAAATGTAAATATATTTATAATATATAATTTATATAATCGAATTTGTAACACGCTGAACAATATTAAAAGCTAATATCAATATTGATTATATAGGTAGTTATTCATATAAATATATGGTAAATATGTGGTTCGAGTTATACTTCACACTAAAAAGTTCGGTTCGACATACCAAGGTTCGGTTCGAGACCATATTTTTGATTTCGACCCACCTCTAGTATTGTTTATAATATATGTAATATGTATTTATTATGATCTAATAATAATTCCATTAATAAAACAAAATCATTATAATCAGATGAATTTTCCTGCCAAAATTCGAGAAATTTAAACCGTTGCTACTCAGGGTCGAAGACTGAATTAAACATTATTTAACCGTTTTAATTCGTATGAATATTGTGTATAATAAAACTTTAAATCGCTTATTTGTACCTACGTATTCGGTGTATTACCATTTTTAGTATCAATAACTCTATAGGTACCTACATAATGTGCTCAATTATGTATCCATACTGCAGTTTTTAAATGTTATTTATTCAAAGAAAATTAGTGATCTGACCCTTATTATATTGCATATAATTAACAAAATTGATCACATGGATATTATGCTATGAATGAAGATACATTGGAATTTCTGTTAAAAAATAAAATAAAATTTTTACTATATTATTACCTATATACTAATATATATGCATTATGCAGAAATGTATGTATTAAATATAATACATAATAAATTATTATATAAAATATAGTTTATTTATTTTATATATATTATTATACTCATTTATTCATAAATAATATGTATATACTATATAGCTATATAATTAAGCTATATGCTATACGTAAATAAATAGCTATATGTAAATAAATATATTAATATAGGTAGCATTATATACAATTAAATGTAGACTGTAGAGTGTATGAATCATTATAAAATCCAGTATAATATCATAGAATTTAGCATTAATGGTCAGTCTAATATAATATTGTCTTTTATTTATTATTATTATTATGTATGTTTGAATAAATTAATTGAAATCATACTACAGAATTATGTTTATGTTAAGCAATATACATTTATAGTACCTATACTATATATAATGTAGATTATAATATGCAAAAAAAATAGCCGTGTATACCATTCATTTAATTTAATTATTTTAATGGTTACACAATTTGTGTGGTTAATTCAATATTGCATGATCAATATGATAGGCTACTCATGGTAGCTAACTTACCTGTCAACAGTATATATATAGTATGATTAGTATGTGTCGTAGTACAGGCAGACTGATGTCTGATACTAACGTTGTCGATGAACAGTTGTGTACCTATATAGTACCTATACTATATATTATTACATTACATATTACAGCATAATATAAGCTATAGCATATAAGCTACTCATGGTGTAACTGAGTAGCTATTTAATTACCTCTTATAATATATTATAAAAAGTATTGTAGTAGGTATAGTATCTGTATTAGTATTCGGACGTCGTCAATCAACGTCTCTGTAAGAACCGTCGTCGACTTGAGCTTAAATATATTATGAATAAAGGTTTGTTTGGCTACTAAAGACAAAGCAATATGTACAATAATACAATGCAATATTTATTGAATAATAATAATAATAAAAATACAGTACATCAGTATTATTATATACCTACAATAATAAATCTATGTTGTAACGGACAAAGAATTTTATATTTAAAGACTTTAAGCACATCTTCGTTAACTCAACGTCTCGTTTTTTTATTTACTGTATTCATGAATACTTTTCCACACTTTACAAAAGATTTGAACTACATTTTTTGAACTGATTTTATAATGTTATGGGTCTTATACATTTATCTAACAGCAATGCTCTAACTATTGTTTAATTAATGTAATGATTGATGGGAAGAATTCTTAACACTTCTTCCATAGTACACTAACGTCAAAATCTTTGTTATGAATTTTAAACATTATTCAACTAGAAAAAACCAACTACTAAATTGTTTTTGAATCAAAAAAATTAAAAAAAATAAATAATTTTCAATTTCCAAACAGTTTTTACTTTTAATATTAAATATTAACTATTAACAACTATTTAATATAGGTACTGTATTGTATATAATTAAGTTGAATTTAAATAAAATTCACATACTTTAAGTAACAAAATGTTTACATATTAAAATTTAAATATTTATAATATACATGTTCATTGTTTTAAAAATATTTTAATTTAAATTGTGTAAATTAAAAATTCACATAATATTAAACTGTTTTCCTTTACTGGAATTGGCCTTTTTTTGAGATCATCGTACAATTCCCAGTTATGCGTACCTCTTTTAGCATAAGCTGTATAATGGCCTATCGAATTTCTCAATCCACTTTTTCCTTTATAGAAATGTATAGCACCACGAAGTTCAAATGTGATGCTTTCATACACAAGTATCTGTGGAATATCACTCAGCTTTACTTGAACCATGCTAGCTGCTTCAGTACTACACATGGATGAAGTTAGATCATTACCTACAAAAAATATGAATATGCTTAGATTTTTAGCTGTTGATAAAAACTATTTTTTACTTATAGAACTAAAAATATATTTACCTTCCCATTGCAAAACATCAATAAATAAATGGTGGGTTGATATTTTTGAATGTACAGCTTTCATACCATCACAATTCTCACTACATTCCAAATACTCCACACCAGTGCGTTCTTTGATGAAATGCTGTAAGCCACTTAAGTTTCCGTTTTTTCCCGTCTGATACGTTAAATACATAACTTGCCACTTGGATGTTTTTATGCAAATGTTGGAAGAACATTTTGAAAATTCTTCAATTGTTGGGTAATCTTTTAGCAAAGCTTTCATAACATGACCCATGGTAGCATCACATTTAGCTAATGTGATGTTATATTGCAACAGTTGTAATTCTGGTTTTAAATAAAGCATTATAACTTCTGTTCTTTTAGTGTAAGTTGAGGATGTAATTCCATTTTTCACTAAACTTGATATGAAATTGAAGTACTTATCATCATTGAATGAATCCATGAACTCTGAATACATTTGACTATCACAATATGATATCTGAAAATATTATAATTTGAAATGGCAGTTAACAAAATAATATAGATTTTTAAAGTTAAATATTATTATAAAACTGTGCATCAAAACTTGATACCCACTAAAATACATTTCTAAAATGTAGAAAACAGTGGATTATGTGTATTAAAAAAAAAAAAATTATTTTAACCAATTTTCATAAATATATAAAATTATACCAACAGTTATTGTTACTTACCATGAGTATAGATGATAATGCATCAAATGCACAGGTGTTACTTAAAACAACTCTGTCGGTTTTGTTAATAGTTTTAGAACTCTTTAGGTCTTGAAATCTTGACCCATTTTTTAAAATAGGCAACGATTGAATTTTATTGCTATTCTTCAAATTCAAATATCTTAAATGCGGGTTTGGAACTAAATAAGAACAACTTTTTCTTTGTTTAAGGCTTTTACGATTCCATTCCTCAAGTGCGGCATTTTCTTCAGTAAAACTCGTTTGTCTATTGTTTTCTATATCCTCATCTACTGACATTGGGTTATTTTCATTAAACTCATTTGAACTTTTACAACACAACTCATCAATTAAAGTAATTTTTTTGTTAAAATGTGTTTGTTCATTGACTGTATCAACTACAATCAACGCTTCATTTTCATCATAATCGTTGAATTTTTCCAAAACAAAAGATGGTGACACATTTCTTGAGAGACAATTATCACCTAAATCCTGTTGATCATTAACATCGTGAGTTTCTAACAAATTAAATGAAAATGAATGATTCAAATCAGTGTTATATCGATCTTCAACTTCTTCAGTAGAAGAATATGGTGACATATTAGATTGATTTTTGGCTATTCGGATAAGTGATGCTCCTTTTAAAGACATAACATGATTTTCTAAAAATATTTCAATATTAGTGGGTAAAACAACATTTTTCATAGTGACCGTTTTTAATTTTTTGAAGCTGGATTCAACTGCAGCTGAACTACATATTTGTTCTCCATAGTTGAAGATTGGTATCATAACACCCGACCATAGGGGGAGAAGCTTCATGCATTTAATTAATATAGGGACTAGTGATGGAATATATAGAGGATTAAGTTCAGTACCGTCCTGTATTAATGATTTACTATTTTCAAAAGTTTGTTTTGCCCATTCCTCAAATGGATTATGAAGTTTGTCTAACCCTTCATTAGAACGTTCATACTCTTCTTCGATACACATTTTAGCTTCATCTTCAGATCTTGCGTTATAAATTATGTCTTCAAATTGTTGCTCAAAATCTACAAATCCCGTTGATGTAGCTTTTATAATAATTTCTTTGTGTTTTTCACATGGTGTCTGTTCGTGTGTACGTTTATTGTTTCCAGCTGTTTCATTAGTAATTATAACAAATAATGACAGTAACATTGATTTAATTTCAATTAGTGACTGACTTTTAATTAAAACACCAATAGAGCGAAGAATAACTTCTTTGACCCTTCGAGGAACAGTTTTTAGTGGTATCCAGTTACTGCATGTTTTTACAAAATGAGCAACATCAATCCTTATAAAACAATGTGGTACTAAGTGTGAATTTCCTTCTATTCTTTTAGTCAAAAGATCAGCACAAATTATGATGTAGTCCTGTAGCGTCGTATATTGTGTAAAACTTTTTGCAATGGCAGAAAGCAATGCCATGGATTGATCACATACAGCTTCTTTGGGCCTTGGAACATTACAATTGATCCAACTGGATAACCAATTAGAAATAGCCAAACTGTTATGCCGCTCACTCAACATATTGGTAACTGTAAAACTACATTTATTTTGTGAATCATAGACCAATCCTTCATACAGAAAGATTGAGCTTGTTTTTTGCTTGCTCAACTTTAAGAATTTTTTCACAACCGAACCTGTAGCATCAATGATCAGTCTGGGTCTTGATCCTTTACAGTAGTTCCTGTAGATTTGGATCTGATCAGCACAATGGTAATGTAAGTAAAAAGGATCACATCCAATATCATGAATTATGTTCTTAAAGTCATCTTCTTGTTTCATCAAAGCTAATGACGTTAAGGTATCTTCATGTCTACGACTGCCTGCTGTCACTCGTGATTTTAAAATGCGTAAAGAATTACCGGATGGAATAATGGACGGATCAGGTGCACCTAAAAAATTACAGAAAATGAGTGATATGATACACATGTCACATGATACATTTAACTATTTTCATAAGGTAATATGTGTTGATTTTTTAATGAAATTATACTAGGGTAGAAGTTTGAAAGTTGCCAATTCAATAAATGGGAATTGACATACCTGTTTTTATCAGACGTACTGCTTCTCTTTCTCGATACGTTTCACTTGATAGTCCATCGACACAAATCGATGAAATTGCTTTTTCCATTGCTGGTCCTATCATACGACGTTTTTTTGTTGTTTTGTGTGCCTCTTGAAAATTACCTCTGAACGTACAATGCATAAGAACTCTATAACAAATTTAAATTATTAAGTATGAAATTACTAAATATTTTTAAATAAATAATCAAATATTTTAATTTGAATATTGAAGTACCTACTTAAATATTTTTAACAAGTACTTATGCAAATTGGTAGATTATACAATTTAAATGTAAAAAATTACTGATGTAATATATCATAATCATTTTCAGCTTACAAAGAAAATGTGCACCTATGTACTTAATATTATTGATGGAAACAAAATATAAATTATTATCTATTTGAAAAATTTAATTTGAGGAATATGTTTTTAAAAAAATTCATACTCTTTGATAGTTACATATTAGGCAATTTACTTCTATTGAAACATTAAGTTATCACAATAATATACTTACTTAGCACCACCAGGGGGTTTATCAAAAACTGTCCCATTAAATCTGGAGTCGCAAACAGAGCAACGTCCCACGACATGTATGTATACAGATCCACTGGGATAAACTTTACCTCTTCGGAAAGATAAACAACAAGGCAGTTGAAAGTGTGCCCAAAAGTGTTCAGCAAGTATTGGTGTCCATGTACCTTTAGGCAAAACATAATACGATCTGGTACTTTGCATCGGACGAGATTTATCTGTTAGCTTAAACACTTTTTCTTGAGGTTGTATCTGATCCCATTCTTCAGATGAAAATGTAAATACAAATTTTTTACATGGGAGTGCATCACCTTCATCATTAGAACTGTAGTCATCAGGCGATTCTTCTAAAAACATTTGTAATCATTTTAACATTAGTTTTAATGGTATTAATAAAATAAAATAAAATAAACATATAAATTACATAGTATTATGATCTATTCACTCACAAATTTTAAATATTATAAACATAATTTACTTACCATCATCTGGTAAGATTGGTGTATGTACAATTTCACAGGACTGCTTAAATTTTAAAGGAAAACCTAGCTTTTCCATTATACCATGACGTCCCTTTTGAACAAAAGTATGAATAGCATTCGAGGACATGCGGTCACCAATATAAAGCCTTATATCTGTCCATACTTGATTTGTAGCTGCAACTATATCTATAAATAATTTCAATAAATTATAACAAAATAGTATTCAAAAGTAATTTAATAAATTGTAAAAAATTTGAATGCACAAATTGTCATGTAATTAATGTTTATTGATTTATTATGATTCAAAAAAAGTAAAAGGAGTGTAATGCAATAATTGACTGTTTAATATTGATCAGTGTTAAATAATCATTACTTCTGTATTAATACCTACTGAATAGTATGATACATTTACCTAATAATGTTTATATTATAAAAATGTATTAAGTATATAATAGATTATTTATTTATTTATTTTTTATTGATCTTAAGAATGGCAACTATGGCCATTAGCTGGATAATTTATTATAATACAGTTAACTGGTACCTATTTTAACATTTTGTCAATTTTATAACATTGACTGCCTGCTGATATGAAATTTGTTTTTAACATTGAATAACATTACCTAGTATATAACATAATATATGCAATAAAATAACACCAAATTGCAATTTTGAGTATAACAGGCAAACCTTCCCAAAAGCAGAGAAAATTAATGGTAATGGTAAGATTAAGAACCCAGAAGAACCTCATCGGTTACTGGTAAGGAGAGCTTTGATATTTAAAATACAATATAAAATATACAACAATTTATGTCTTTATGTCAGCACCTTAAACCTCACTATAGAATTAAATAAGTTAAATACAGTAGGTACTTGATATGCTAAAAAACAAAAAAACACTTACACATTTCATTTTTCTCGTTCTTCAAAACCACTCGTTCTTTGAATGTTAGAACTGCATCAATTATATCCGAAGGTGGAACAGCTCCTTTGCGTCCGACCATTTCAATCAGTTTGATTTTCAATAATTTAATCAATTATGATTCAAATAATTTAGGTCTATTAACTATACACAGTGAATCAACAAATCAAACGTAATAAAACTCAACTAGATATGTAATTACGGTACTGTTCAATTAATATTTTGACAGAAAAACTTAAAACACAGATGTTAAAAATACTTGTTACTCGTGGAAGAGGTTATAACATTGTGTGGTTTGAAGTTTCCAAAAACTGTACCAAAATAAAATTATTGTTATTGTTATTATTTCTATTTTCTTCCCATAGCCAGCAGCTGAATAGGGATGCCAACATGAGAATCAATTGTATTAGGTACAATATTGGTATAAGATATAAATAGATGATGAATAATAATAGTTACTGATGAGATATAAAAATTACATGTTAGATAGGACCGTTACATTGGCAACACCATATACAAAAATCCAGAAGAAAATTGTACCAACAAAAAAACTAATTTGAATAAAACTCGCCTAGTTGAAGACAAAAATGTATATTTAATAAAAAAAAACTGAAATTAAATTAAAAAATTGAATTTGAATAAAAAGTTTTTATATTATTTTAGTTTAAATTTTTTATCAAATTCAATTCTTTTATTTGAAGTAAATTGTTTTTTTATTAAATAAATCTTTTTTATTGAAAGAGATTTTTAATCAAATATAAAAAAGTCAATTCTTTTATTTGAAGTTAATTGTTTTTTTATTAAATAAATCTTTTTTTATTGAAAAGAGATTTTTTAATCAAATATAAAAAAGTCAATTCTTTTATTTGAAGTAAATTGTTTTTTTATTAAATAAATCTTTTTTTATTGAAAAGAGATTTTTTAATCAAATATAAAAAAGTCAATTCTTTTATTTGAAGTTAATTGTTTTTTTATTAAATAAATCTTTTTTTATTGAAAAGAGATTTTTTAATCAAATATAAAAAAGTCAATTCTTTTATTTGAAGTTAATTGTTTTTTTATTAAATAAATCTTTTTTTATTGAAAAGAGATTTTTTTATATTTAAAGTCGACTTTTTTATATTTGATTAAAAAATCTCTTTTCAATAAAAAAAGATTTATTTAATAAAAAAACAATTAACTTCAAATAAAAGAATTGACTTTTTTATATTTGATTAAAAAATCTCTTTTCAATAAAAAAAGATTTATTTAATAAAAAAACAATTAACTTCAAATAAAAGAATTGACTTTTTTATATTTGATTAAAAAATCTCTTTTCAATAAAAAAAGATTTATTTAATAAAAAAACAATTAACTTCAAATAAAAGAATTGACTTTTTTATATTTGATTAAAAAATCTCTTTTCAATAAAAAAAGATTTATTTAATAAAAAAACAATTAACTTCAAATAAAAGAATTGACTTTTTTATATTTGATTAAAAAATCTCTTTTCAATAAAAAAAGATTTATTTAATAAAAAAACAATTTACTTCAAATAAAAGAATTGACTTTTTTATATTTGATTAAAAAATCTCTTTTCAATAAAAAAAGATTTATTTAATAAAAAAACAATTAACTTCAAATAAAAGAATTGACTTTTTTATATTTGATTAAAAAATCTCTTTTCAATAAAAAAAGATTTATTTAATAAAAAAACAATTTACTTCAAATAAAAGAATTGAATTTGATAAAAAATTTAAACTAAAATAATATAAAAACTTTTTATTCAAATTCAATTTTTTAATTTAATTTCAGTTTTTTTTTATTAAATATACATTTTTGTCTTCAACTAGGCGAGTTTTATTCAAATTAGTTTTTTTGTTGGTACAATTTTCTTCTGGATTTTTGTATATGGTGTTGCCAATGTAACGGTCCTATCTAACATGTAATTTTTATATCTCATCAGTAACTATTATTATTCATCATCTATTTATATCTTATACCAATATTGTACCTAATACAATTGATTCTCATGTTGGCATCCCTATTCAGCTGCTGGCTATGGGAAGAAAATAGAAATAATAACAATAACAATAATTTTATTTTGGTACAGTTTTTGGAAACTTCAAACCACACAATGTTATAACCTCTTCCACGAGTAACAAGTATTTTTAACATCTGTGTTTTAAGTTTTTCTGTCAAAATATTAATTGAACAGTACCGTAATTACATATCTAGTTGAGTTTTATTACGTTTGATTTGTTGATTCACTGTGTATAGTTAATAGACCTAAATTATTTGAATCATAATTGATTAAATTATTGAAAATCAAACTGATTGAAATGGTCGGACGCAAAGGAGCTGTTCCACCTTCGGATATAATTGATGCAGTTCTAACATTCAAAGAACGAGTGGTTTTGAAGAACGAGAAAAATGAAATGTGTAAGTGTTTTTTTGTTTTTTAGCATATCAAGTACCTACTGTATTTAACTTATTTAATTCTATAGTGAGGTTTAAGGTGCTGACATAAAGACATAAATTGTTGTATATTTTATATTGTATTTTAAATATCAAAGCTCTCCTTACCAGTAACCGATGAGGTTCTTCTGGGTTCTTAATCTTACCATTACCATTAATTTTCTCTGCTTTTGGGAAGGTTTGCCTGTTATACTCAAAATTGCAATTTGGTGTTATTTTATTGCATATATTATGTTATATACTAGGTAATGTTATTCAATGTTAAAAACAAATTTCATATCAGCAGGCAGTCAATGTTATAAAATTGACAAAATGTTAAAATAGGTACCAGTTAACTGTATTATAATAAATTATCCAGCTAATGGCCATAGTTGCCATTCTTAAGATCAATAAAAAATAAATAAATAAATAATCTATTATATACTTAATACATTTTTATAATATAAACATTATTAGGTAAATGTATCATACTATTCAGTAGGTATTAATACAGAAGTAATGATTATTTAACACTGATCAATATTAAACAGTCAATTATTGCATTACACTCCTTTTACTTTTTTTGAATCATAATAAATCAATAAACATTAATTACATGACAATTTGTGCATTCAAATTTTTTACAATTTATTAAATTACTTTTGAATACTATTTTGTTATAATTTATTGAAATTATTTATAGATATAGTTGCAGCTACAAATCAAGTATGGACAGATATAAGGCTTTATATTGGTGACCGCATGTCCTCGAATGCTATTCATACTTTTGTTCAAAAGGGACGTCATGGTATAATGGAAAAGCTAGGTTTTCCTTTAAAATTTAAGCAGTCCTGTGAAATTGTACATACACCAATCTTACCAGATGATGGTAAGTAAATTATGTTTATAATATTTAAAATTTGTGAGTGAATAGATCATAATACTATGTAATTTATATGTTTATTTTATTTTATTTTATTAATACCATTAAAACTAATGTTAAAATGATTACAAATGTTTTTAGAAGAATCGCCTGATGACTACAGTTCTAATGATGAAGGTGATGCACTCCCATGTAAAAAATTTGTATTTACATTTTCATCTGAAGAATGGGATCAGATACAACCTCAAGAAAAAGTGTTTAAGCTAACAGATAAATCTCGTCCGATGCAAAGTACCAGATCGTATTATGTTTTGCCTAAAGGTACATGGACACCAATACTTGCTGAACACTTTTGGGCACACTTTCAACTGCCTTGTTGTTTATCTTTCCGAAGAGGTAAAGTTTATCCCAGTGGATCTGTATACATACATGTCGTGGGACGTTGCTCTGTTTGCGACTCCAGATTTAATGGGACAGTTTTTGATAAACCCCCTGGTGGTGCTAAGTAAGTATATTATTGTGATAACTTAATGTTTCAATAGAAGTAAATTGCCTAATATGTAACTATCAAAGAGTATGAATTTTTTTAAAAACATATTCCTCAAATTAAATTTTTCAAATAGATAATAATTTATATTTTGTTTCCATCAATAATATTAAGTACATAGGTGCACATTTTCTTTGTAAGCTGAAAATGATTATGATATATTACATCAGTAATTTTTTACATTTAAATTGTATAATCTACCAATTTGCATAAGTACTTGTTAAAAATATTTAAGTAGGTACTTCAATATTCAAATTAAAATATTTGATTATTTATTTAAAAATATTTAGTAATTTCATACTTAATAATTTAAATTTGTTATAGAGTTCTTATGCATTGTACGTTCAGAGGTAATTTTCAAGAGGCACACAAAACAACAAAAAAACGTCGTATGATAGGACCAGCAATGGAAAAAGCAATTTCATCGATTTGTGTCGATGGACTATCAAGTGAAACGTATCGAGAAAGAGAAGCAGTACGTCTGATAAAAACAGGTATGTCAATTCCCATTTATTGAATTGGCAACTTTCAAACTTCTACCCTAGTATAATTTCATTAAAAAATCAACACATATTACCTTATGAAAATAGTTAAATGTATCATGTGACATGTGTATCATATCACTCATTTTCTGTAATTTTTTAGGTGCACCTGATCCGTCCATTATTCCATCCGGTAATTCTTTACGCATTTTAAAATCACGAGTGACAGCAGGCAGTCGTAGACATGAAGATACCTTAACGTCATTAGCTTTGATGAAACAAGAAGATGACTTTAAGAACATAATTCATGATATTGGATGTGATCCTTTTTACTTACATTACCATTGTGCTGATCAGATCCAAATCTACAGGAACTACTGTAAAGGATCAAGACCCAGACTGATCATTGATGCTACAGGTTCGGTTGTGAAAAAATTCTTAAAGTTGAGCAAGCAAAAAACAAGCTCAATCTTTCTGTATGAAGGATTGGTCTATGATTCACAAAATAAATGTAGTTTTACAGTTACCAATATGTTGAGTGAGCGGCATAACAGTTTGGCTATTTCTAATTGGTTATCCAGTTGGATCAATTGTAATGTTCCAAGGCCCAAAGAAGCTGTATGTGATCAATCCATGGCATTGCTTTCTGCCATTGCAAAAAGTTTTACACAATATACGACGCTACAGGACTACATCATAATTTGTGCTGATCTTTTGACTAAAAGAATAGAAGG